AAAAAAAAAAAAGAAAAGCTGCAAAAAGCCCATGTAGAGAGAAAATAAGATACCAGTTCAACAATATGTGAGTTACAAACAAAAGAAAAAGTGAAGAGAGCCTTACCCACAGCTCCAAACATCTATGGCTGGTGTATAACGCTCCTCTCCCAGCAGAAGTTCTGGAGGTCGGTACCAAAGAGTAATGACTTTGTTTGTATAAGGGCGACTGAAATGTAAAAAACAACCATGATATAAATTTACAATGGCTTCTGATGAAATATCTGTACAATTAAATGCAATTAGAAATAGCTGCCAATTGAAGATGGGATTGTCAAAACAGCTCCATAGCAACCTAACAGTTCAAAAGTAAACTGGACAGAAGTAGGAGATGTAGAAATAACTTCCATTCTAATTTGGGTTGATTTACTTCAGTCTAAGGCTGATTCAAGAATTTAGATAGAATTTATCATCTAAAATGTAAGTGGTAAAAACATTTAGAAAATTAGGGAACTCGGACAGTTATTGTAACTTGCAGAATACTAGGATATCCAAGAATAAAAAGGATTCTTTCCTATCTCCCACATGTAATTTTGATGAATGCCTCACCTCTCTTCAGAGTTATAAAGCCGAGCAAGTCCAAAATCTGCTAGCTTGATTTGCCCACTGTAAAACAAAAAACAATTATTTTCATAAGTAATAGCAGTGGCCTTGAAATTACACCTAAAAAGTTAAGTGCTAATTTAGGAGTTAAAGGAATTACAAAAATGAATTTTAACCTCTCCTCTCTTATTTCTACTCTTAAGGGTCACTCTTCCAGATTAAACCTCTTTTGACTACTGCAGTTTACAAAGCCTTAGGTGTTTTTTTGGACTACTACTATATTTTTGGATTCGATTCCTTAACTAAAAATTTTTTTATTTCTTGGCAAACAACAGTGGCTGGAATCTGCTAGATTAAACACTTATTGTTGGGGAAAAGGGAACTGGCTGCTCTAGATCAAGAGAGACAACCAAATCCAATTCACAATCCTTGACTGATTCTGGTTTGAACAAACTAGCTATACAAAAGATAATTTTGACATAACTGAGAAAATGCCAAATATGGACTGTTAGAAGATAATAGGTAATTTTGTCAGAGTATTTAGGGTCAAACGTAAGGAGGTCTGTAATTTACTTTAAAATAACGCAAGCAGGGGCTGGCCCAGTGGCACAGTAGTTAAGTGACCGGTTAAGTGCGTGCACTCCACTTCAGCAGCCCATGGGTTCACAGGTTCCTGGGCGTGCACCGAAGCACCGCTTGTCAAGCCATGCTGTGGCGGAGTCCCATATAAAGTAGAGGAAGATGGGCACGGATGTTAGCCCAGGGCCAATCTTCCTCAGCAAAAAAGAGGAGGATTGGCATCTAATGTTAGCTCAGAGCTGATCTTACTCACAAAAAATAAAAAATAAATAACACAAGCAGAAAAATAAAAAGCAAGCAAATACAGTAAAACATTAATTGTATACGTATTATTAATTACATTAGTGTCTCAATTTTTTTATTGCAATGTGACATTTTTCATGATAAAAAGTAAACCACAGCAACATTGTGGCTTAGGGGAATGAACAGACTTTTTTTTTTTTTTTTAAAATAATTTTATTTATTTATTTTTTTTCCCCCAAAGCCCCAGTAGATAGTTGTATGTCATAGCTGCACATCCTTCTAGTTGCTGTACGTGGGACGCGGCTTCGGCATGGCCGGGGAAGCAGTGCGTTGGTGCGCGCCCGGGATCCGAACCCGGGCGGCCAGCAGCAGAGCGCACGCACTTAACCGCTAAGCCACGGGGCTGGCCCTGAATAGACTTTTTCAATCAGATCAAATCAATAGCTTTGATCTGAGCAAACTATATTTATGATGAACGAGGCCCCCTCCTACCAACATACTGCCATCACTTCCTATACCCATAAAGATATACAACTATGACCTTAGAGGGGTTCTCAAACTTTAATATGAAATAAGAATAATCTGGAAAGCTCGTTAAAAGTTTCCTGGGCCCCATTCCCAGAGATGCTGATTCAGAGTAGGCCATGGCCCATGAATTCACACTTCTAACATGTCCACACGTGATGCCAATACTTCTGGTCTGAGAACCACACTTTGGGAACCACTCTCTTAAAGGGATCACACCCACATTTCACTCTAAGTATTTTGTCTTGGACAGTGATGTCAAATAATATTTCAATAAACTGTAACAAAAAACGTTGGGAAACTATTTAAAAACCATTTATTAACTATTTTAGATTAATCATATATCTAAATTCTTGTGTGGCCTATTTATTCACATTTACAGCTTGTGTTATCTCTTGGGGAATGAAAAGCCAGCTCACTCTGTTAAGGGACTGGGGATCTCTCAGATGCCTGATAGCTCAGATCAGGCAGAAAAGTGAAATAGAAGAAAAAACGGGCTAAGCTAGGAGGTGCTCCTCAAAGTATGAGCAATGGAACAGAATATTAAAACAAGGTAACTACTAGCAACAAAATTTTACATTAAATCAATCCTTATCATTCCTAGTAAAGATTATGGGCAGCTTAACCCACTTGCCCAAAACATCATTACATTTTTAAGTTCAATTTATAAGCAAATTCTGAGAAAAGCAAAAAGGAAAAGAATAGCTGACTTGAACCCTACACTGAAACAAAAAGTGTTCCTCAAATTTATTGTCATCCTTACTCTGAGAGCCTGAGATGATCCAAGACTCAAGGCACACAGTACGACTGCAAGTTAAAATGGCGATACAGTTATGGAAAATTAGGCTAAATCTAAACATCACCAGTACCTAGTATATTTCCTAATCCAACCCCTCCCCTCTCACTCTCAGTAAGTGACCTCGTCTTCATTGAAAACAGAAGTCATCAGGTGGGAGCTACTTAACATCCTATCTTTTGCACCTATAACCTTTCTTTCTTCTTTTCCTTCACTTATGGAAAATTCCTTCACTTATGGAAAAAAATGTGTCAATCTCTTTTCTTCAAGGATAAGCAATACCTATACTTGTGGCCACTGCCACCTATGGCCTTGATCCCATCTCCTCTACAACTTTGCTCCTTTAAATTCTTTGGTTCTTTCCTGAACCTTCAACTTCTCCCTCTCTATTGATTTTCTTTTCCCTTAGTATTTAAATATGCTGAAACCTCTGCATCCTTAAATAAAAAACTAATAAAAATAAAAAATTAAAGACACACCTACAATCACCTTCCCATTAATTGTGCTACCCACCCACTTACCCCACATTGTCACCACTGACCTTTTAATTTTCAGCTTCTCCCTCTCTCTTTTTTTTTTTGGTGAGGAAGATTGGCCCTGAGCTAACATCTGTTGTCAATCCCCCTCTTTTTGCCTGAGGAAGAGTGGCCCTGAGCTAACGTTTATGCCAATTGTCCTCTACTTTATATATGGGATGCCGCCACAGCATGGCTTGATGAGCAGTGCATAGGTCCTTGCCTGAGATCCGAACCTGTGAAACCCAGGCCACCGAAGCGGAGTGCGTGAACTTAACCATTACGCTACAGGGCCGGCCCCTCAGATTCTCTTCTTAAGTTTTAATCCATCTGCATCGGGGCCGGCCCCGTGGCTTAGTGGTTAAGTGCACGCGCTCCGCTGCTGGCGGCCCGGGTTCAGATCCCGGGCGCGCACCAACGCACCGCTTCTCTGGCCACATTGAGGCCGCGTTCCACATACAGCAACTAGAAGGATGTGCAACTATGACATACAACTATCTACTGGGGCTTTGGGGGAAAAATAAATAAATAAATAAAATAAAATCTATCTGCATCATCTGACATCTGTGACCGCTCACTTCTTAAGCTTGCCTATTTTGCATTCGTGCTATGTCCTTATTTTTTTCTTATCTCTGACCATTCCCTCAGATTCCATCTTCTCACATTTTTTCTATGCTCGATAACTCCCGAATCTATACCACTAATGTGGAACTTCCATGTGACTATATGCCTATTAGACATCAATACCCTGGATACGTAACAGACATATCCACAAGGGACTTACTCTTCACCCCACACATCCAGCTCTTCCTTCTGTATTCCCTAGACTGACCATTGTGCCACCCATCTAGCTAGTTTCTCAAGTCAAAAATCTGAGTTATCTTAAAATACTTCATTACCCACCATTCATTCACTCACTGAAGTTTATTGATGTACTGAGTCTATCCTGTCCATATCTACTAGCAATGCCTTGGTTAGTTCAAGCACTGATTATTTCTTATGCTGTTCTTTTTTTTTTTTTTATAATTTTATTTATTTATTTTTTTCCCCCAAAGCCCCAGTAGATAGTTGTATGTCATAGTTGCACATCCTTCTAGCTGCTGTATGTGGGACGCGGCCTCAGCACGGCTGGACAAGCAGTGTGTCGGTGCGTGCCCAGGACCCGAACCCGGGCCGCCAGCGGAGCGCGCGCACTTAACCGCTAAGCCACGGAGCCAGCCCTCTTATGGTGTTCTTAATATGTCTCCCTGCCTCCAGTCTATACCCCATATAGTGACCACTTAGTGACTTTTCTAAAAGAGGAGACTAATTGTGTCTCTCCTCTATCTAAAATAGTTTGGTCTCATTTATAGTAGAGTAATTAAGATATACTGAACATCATGGAGCTGAGCCCTGCCCTCCTCTCTCTCTCATCAACTGCTTTCTCTTCCTTGTCCAGCTAAGGACTCCTTACCATTCTCTCCAGGCTATCTCACCCAGAAGTCTCTGTGTATAATTTTTTTTTTTATAATTTTATTTATTTATTTTTTCCCAAATCCCCAGTAGATAGTTGTATGTCACAGCTGCACATCCCTCCAGTTGCTGTATGTGGGACGTGGCCTCAGCATGGCCAGAGAAGCGGGGCGTCGGTGCGCGCCTGGGATCCGAACCCGGGCCGCCAGCAGCAGAATGCACACACTTAACCGCTAAGCCACGGGGCCGGCCCATGACTTGTCATTACCTTTTTTTTTTTTTTTTTTTTGTGAGGAAGGTCAGCCCTGAGCTAACATCCATGCTAATCCTCCTTCAGAAGTCTCTGTGTAGACAGAGCTAAATAAGCAAGAGCAGAGGATGGAGGGATCAGACTAGACTATGAGACTCCTACATCCTGCTTAGCAACCTGAAGAGAAAGTTCAGTTCAGTCTAGAACCTCATCAGCTTCCTGAATACGGGAAATCAGGGACAGAGAGTGGTCCGACCCACCAGAAAGAACACCAAGCAGTTATTCCCTGGCCTGAGACATCCCCCCATGGAGAAGAAAAAGGAACAGAAAAAAGAATATTAAGACTATAGCCCAGAAAGCTACAAACTGATAGCCATCATCATTAAGTTCTTGAAGTATTATTACTATAGATGTAGACTAACCAAGCCCAGCTTTAACGAGAACTGTGGGTCACAGAAATAGTGACAGAATCTTTTAACATCATGTTTTGTCTCCTAAAGGTACTTAAGTACATATATATATATGTGTGTGTGTGTGTATATATGATTCAAAACAACACATTAATTATATAATTTAGAAACAAAAAATTAACCCAACAGCACTCTTCAATGACTGTCACCTAAAGAGAAAGTTTAAGCTCCTTAGCGAGATATACAAGATCCTTAAATTAGCTCCTTGCAACTGTTCAGCTTCATCTCGTCATTATGTGCTTCACTTTTCTTGCCCTAGCAATACTGACCTGTTTACAGTTTTCCAGACATAACATGTTATATTATTTTCACATTGATGTGCTTTTGTCCATGCAATTCCTTTTGCCTAGAAACTTAACCCTCTGTTGTCAGTCTTTCTGATAAATTCCTACTCATTCCTTGTGATTTCATCTTCCTAGGAGCTCCAAAATTCAAGGAAAAAAAAGGCTTAACAAATGTTTACTGGGGGCTGGCCCAGTGGCGCAGCGGTTAAGTGCATGTGCTCCGCTTCGGCAGCCCGGGGTTCACAGGTTCAGATCCCAGGCGTGCACTGACGCACCACTTGTCAAGCCATGCTGTGGCGGTGTCCCATACAGAATAGAGGAAGATGGGCACAGATGTTAGCCCCGGGCCAATCTTCCTCAGCAAAAAAGAGGAGGACTGGCATCAGATGTTAGCTCAGGGCTGATCTTCCTCACACACACAAAAATACACAAATGTTTACTAAATGGAGCAATATATTTGTTTAGCTCTCCTACTAAACTCTGAACTCTCCAGTGACCAACTATCCCATGTGGGACTTCTAGTGCTAAAACCAGGACAGTCTTGGATGACCCTGGATATAGGGTTTGTTCACAAAGACAGGAAATATGTAATAATCATTCTATATTCCTTTCTAGATAATGTTTGTTATATATTATTGAACAGAAATGTTTAAAACAATGGGTGAATCAGACAAAGATGGCTGTAAACAGCCCAATTACCTAAAGAACCAAACATTGGCCTGACTTCAATGGTACTAGATTTGCTATTTATTTCTCAATAGGTAGGGGTATTACCAAAGACTAGTGTGCATAATACATATCATATCATCAGTGCAGTGATCCCAGTTTAGGCAAATAGCCAGAGAGGAAGAAAGCAGATGATAAAAACTTCTGAAGAATTAACACTGTTCATCATCGAATTCCTGTCTGTCTACACTATTAAAACATGGGAGTAAGTACTGGGCAGAAAAGTCAACCATCAAGTACACCTGTGTTTACTCTGAAATTCGATAACTGAGCAAGTCTCAAGAGCAGCTAAAAGAGCAGGCACATTTCTCCCCACTAAACAAGGGAGAATTTCACTAAGAACTCAATGTGTGTTTGAATTTGCCTAGGACCACAACAATATTATTTATTAACTATGATAAAAAAACTCTCTGAATATTCCTGTAGAATGTGAGTGATACCCTAAAATGTTTGCAATTAAAAAAACCTTAACAATCATCCTACCTCTGTTAATTCCTTACCAACACTGACTCTGGAGACTCTGCTGATCAGAGTACCCCTATCATAAGTTGTTCCTAAGGTATAAACACCAGATGTATGTAAATGCAAAAAACTGCATTACTGGGTCCACCTATAACCCCAATTAACTAGCTGAAACTAAGGGGTTCAGAAGACAGAGAGAAAATGCTTAACCTCATTTGGTTACTATGTTACCTGTTATTCAGCAAAATGTTAGAACATTTAATATCCCGATGCAGGAAATTCTTTTTGTGACAATAATCCAATCCTTCCATTAGCTGTTTCATGAATGACTTGATATGGTCCTCAGAAAAGTGCACCAAACCAGATTCTAGCAGTCCCATTAAGTCATGGTCCATGTACTCAAATACAAGGTAAAAGGCACCTACATAAAATGAAAGAAAAAGTTTAAAACAAGAGAAAAAGGATGCTGAAATGCCTCAAATTTTAATATAATTTTGGAGTTGACCATAAGGTTCTCTGGAACAACCGCTTAATTTTCTAGATGAAGAAACTGAAACTGAAGAGTATTTGAATAATTTGCCCTTTCTAATAAGAAATAACAAAACTACTATTTAAACTAATCTTCTGACTCCTGGTCCAGTGCTCTTTGGACTAGTTAGGTCTTGAGGGGGACAACTGCCCCCATCAGCTTGTATTATTAATCTTTTAAGATCTAAATCAGTCGGCAAATTACAGACCTTGAGCCAAATCCAGTCTGCTGTCTGTTGCTGTAAATAAAGTTTTATTTGTAACGCACAACCATGCCCATTTGTTACATATTGTCTATGACTACTTTTGTAGAAGTCTTTACCTTAGTTAATAGGATCACTGGGCTAGGGGTAGCACAGTATATTTAGTATAAATTATCAGTGAAATTCATAGTATTTAGGAATTGAAAGAAAGGTGAATCATCTAATCCAACTCCCTAAATTTAGAAGTAGATAAAAGGAAAAGTATGCTAAGAGAACTGTAAAAGATTTGAAATCCACACTATTTTTTCCCTTTCGGCAGGGTGCATGATAGAAGCAAATACTGCATCATAAGAAATACTAGACCTAGCTAGACAATGATCTGTCCAGTCTAAAATTCTGTCTCCTACTAGCATAAAGACAAGGATTCTTAATGTAGGCGGTAAGCTTCAAGGACTCTTTTTGAACTCTCTGAAATAGTATGCAACATTTTAAACATATTTTTTTGAAGAGCGGATCCATAAGATGTTTAAAGAGACCCATCACCCCCCAAAAGTTAAGCCATTGCATTAAAGGAATATCTTAGAGAGATTTAGCTAAGACCTCAGGACAAAGAACACAAAAGAACAACTCAAAAAGAGAAAATAAGTAAAATTGGTAAATGTGTAAAAAAACTCATAAGTAATATTAGGAATGCAATCCAAAATAATGATATCATACTTCACTTATCAAGATGACAATTTTTTAAAAAGATATATTCAATGTTAGGATAAAGTGGGATGGGCACTTACTGGTGGGACATAAGTTATTACTATTTTTCTTAAAAGTAATCTAATATTAAATATGAAAATCCCTTTAACCAAATAATTCTACTTCTAAGAAACTATACCAAGAAATAAATCAAAATGCAAAGATGCTCAATACAGTGCTATTATAATATTCTGTGTGTGTCAGAGGAAGACTGGCTCTGAGCTAACATCCATTGCCAACCCCCTCTTTTTTTTCTCGCTGAGGAAGATTAGCTTTGAGCTAACATCCGTGCCCATCTTCCTCTACTTTATATGGGACGCCGCCACAGCATGGCTTGACGAGTGGTGCGTCAGCCTGCACCTTGGATCCGAACCTGCAAACCCCGGGCCACGGAAGTAGAGCACGCAAACTTAACCACTATGCCACCGGGCCCGCCCATTATAATATTTTTTTAAACTGGCAACTAATTTGTCAACAGGGACTGGTAAAGGAAATTTGGACTCATCTATCTTTATGCAGTCATTAAAACATCTTAATGATATGGGAAATTGCTTATGACAAGTTATAAAACATTAAACACATTTTGATCTCAGTTATGTTAAAATAAATACAATATATATAATATAAAGTACTAGAAAGAAATATGCCAAAATGCTAATACTACAGTGGTTTTCTACGAATGGTGGTATATTGGGACCGAGTGAAAGAGAAGTGATTGCCATTTTATTTTTTTTATTCTTCTATATTTATAATTTTTCCTCAATGGGCATGCATGATATCCATCCATTCATTTATTTATTATTTTATGACTATTTTAAAAAGAATTTCAACACTACATGGTAAACTGTTTAAATAGTACAGAATGGCATAGATGAAACTCCCCTTTCCAGAAGCAACCAATTAACATTTTCTTGTGCATCCTTACAGAAACTAGCTACACATTGTATTATTTTTATAATTAGAAAAAGGGCATGGGCCGGCCCTGTGGCTTGGTGGTTAAGTGCGCGCGCTGCGATGCTGGCGGCCCGGGTTCGGATCCCGGGTGCGCATCGAGGCACCACTTCTCT